TCTCCCAGTTTAGAGTGCAATGGTGTCATCGTAGCTCACTGCAACCTCAAACTCCTGGGTTCAAGTGATTCTCCTGGCTTAGCATCCTGAGTAGCTGGGACTACAGGCAAGTGCCACCATACCAGGCTAATTTTTTCTATTTTTTGTAGACACAGGGGTCTCACTCTTGCTCAGGCTGTTCTTGAACTCCTGGCCTCAAGCAATCCTCCCACCTCGGCCTTCCAAAGTGCTAGGATTACAGGTGTGAGCCCTTGCACCTAGCCTCCCGTGACAATCTGTTGATTGAGATAATGAGGAACGCAGGTCACTTTCTACATAGAATTTAAACTGCTTTTTCTGTTTTGGAATGCCACCCTCCATTGGTTTCTACTCTAATTAAATAGACAATTCCAAGAAGCACTAAGAAAATTATGCCAATTTACATATGTCCTGACTTCCAGGGATTAGGAACCAGATTATGTACCTTGAACTCATTTCAATCTTGCCCTGACTTTGAAGTTTCCTAAAGTTCTAGAACTTTCTTTAAAAATTTGGAATGCTTCTGGAAAGATAATTTGCATGATTCTTTTTCCTTTGGAAAAAATATTCTGGTCAATGTTGGAAGCAAAAAATAAATAAATAAATAAGAAAAGAAAAAGAAAAACCAAGGCAACGTATGTCTTGCTCCTTAATATATTGTTTGGAATGAATGTCTCATTGATGAACTAAGTATTAGAGCTTGGTGCACAGAAGCTATGGAAATGGTGTGTTGGTGCAGAAAATCGGGTTCATTATTTCTCATTCGCAATATAAACGAGCAGTAAATCACCCCATAAGGGGGTGTATGCATTAGGGCCTCCCACATAAACTTCACCTCGGCAGGCGTAAACATTTTCTTATTATCGCAAATAATCAACAGGAGAATAGCAAATGCAAGTTTAGCTTTTCTCCAGAATGTTTATCGTGGTTACTTTAAACTGTTTATAGGAAAGAGAGAACTATAAATGTCTTTCGGGAGGGTGGGGAGGAACATATGGTGAAGTGGGCTTCTCTGTGACAAAATGTTTGGTTAAGTTTTCGGCAACACATGGTCCTTCCGTACCAATTATTTGTCATCTCAAACATTGTTGTTGATATTCAATTCCTGAAACAAATAACACCGACCTAAAACATTTATAATAATGGCAGCAGCTAGGATGCAGCTGTGCCTTGCAAACCCCCCCCATTGCCCCCCCCCCCCACCCCCACCCCCTAGTCAGCTGTGGCTCAGGCAGGCCCAGCCTCTCTGCCCCTGCTCATCAGAGCAACTCACTCTGGTCTTCAGAGCAAACCTTGGATGTCCTCCTCCTCAAGGTTTTCTACATTGGAGCTCTACAAATTGTAATTTTCTCTAAGAAAATAGCCTGTGTATGCAATGGCCTGGGGAGGGGGTTAATTTCTGACGAATAAAGCATGCCATACCTTGAAAAATGTCTCAGATACAGCCTGGGCATTAACTGGGTGTTAGTTGAACAGGCAACATCCTTCTGTGAGTGGCCTTCAGATTAGCATACGCATCAGGTTTTGTTGGTCTGTCCAAGTTCAAGTAGCAATGAATGAGGTTAGCCAAAGAGGAGACAGACCTGGTCTCAAGGCTTTTGTGTGCCATGGTCTATCCTACTTCGTTTATACTGAAGGGACTAAAGCTTATCTTGATAAAGCTCTCAGAAAATCACAATGGCAAAAACCTCGACAAGACAGTCCGAGAGCCTTTTCGAATATTTCTCTATTTTTATCGCTTATGTTATTGGTATAATCCCTTAAAAATAATTAAATGTCACGTTATTTTGTCCAGAGTTTATTGACTAGGACAATGAAAAAGAAATCCTTTGCAGTTTCCCCTTAATGTCACATGTTTTGGCCCGTCCTGTTTTATTTCAGTGAAAAAGAACATGCCCCACACCACCTCTACCCCAAAACACAGACAAATACACTTTTCTTTTACTCTGTCTTTCCTTTATGTTTCTTTATGTATTGGAACGTGTTATGAGATGATAGAGAGATGACTAAGGCAAGGTTTTTAATCCTAGATATTTCCAATACAATACACGAGGGAAGACAGGGATGGCAACAGAGAACTATGACAGAAATTCAGCGTGATGTATCTTACACTGTACGTACCGAAAGTAGTGTGAAAGCACAAAGAGATAAATGTTCATTCTGATGGGTGTGGGGATAAGAATGAAGAAGATTTAATTCAAGAGATGGCATTTGAGTAGTACAAGGATGAATTTGGTTTCAAGAGGTAAAGAGAAGGAAAATAATACTTAGAGAACTCATATAAAATAAAACAAACAGCAAAACCTACTCTGTTCTTATTTTTGGATATCTTCCTTCCCTCCCTTCCTCTTTCCTACTCTCCTTCCTTCTCTCCCTCCCTTTCTTCTTTTCTCTCTCTCTCTATATATATATATGAAACTAAAATTCCATTACTGGTATTTATAAAATGGCTTATGGTGTATATCAGTAGTTCTCAGTGGGGTAGTATCTACTGCCTTGGTAGCTTCTGGCAAGTTCTAGGGTTATTTTATTAGTAGATATTAGAGGACTACTAGCATTAAATTAGCAGGGCCAAGGATGGGCAAGATAGTTATTGCACATAAAGGATTGACTGCCATCCTACCCAATGCTTGATGTCCAACAGGTGCTCATGCAGATAAAAAGCGTATTTATAATCATTTTTGTCAAGTACCTAACTCCGTTTTATATATAACTTTTTATGATTTAGTATACACTGAATTTTGCATGTACACTGAATATGCAGTTACCCACATAAATCAAATGAAAAAATGTATTTTGTTTTGCTTAGAAATTTATTCCATTTTTCACAAATTCTCCCATGATTTTTCACAAATTTCTGATTCATTTCACAAAGGAGTTTTTGCATTTTTCACATGATTTCAGAAAAACACATCATTCCATTAGCTTATGTGACTTCAGTCACCAGTACAGTGCAGGAGTGTATAAGTCTTCCAGAGGTGCAGGCATTAGAGAACTTCTTCATGGTCACCAGAGTAATGGGTCTGAGCAGGTACCTGCTGAAATACAGTATAGCATGCTGCAAAGCCCACATTCTCTTGCCATTCACTCTTACCACACACTAGCTGTGTGACTTTGGGAAAGTTACTTAATCTCTCTGGGTCACATTTTCCTTATCTATAAAATGGAAATTCTACTAGTACTTATCTCATGGATATTAAAAAGGTTTGATAGCTAAGAGTAATGCCTGGCATAGAATTAGTATCATTGTTCACTATGAAGTTCATATCCCTTCTCTAAAACTCTTTGAACTAGATGTGTTTCAGAATTCAGTGTATTTTTGAAAGGTAATCTGGCACATGTATGTGTATATTATGTAATACTATTAGTGGAATCTTAGGCAGCACCTATAATCAAAACCATTAATTTTTCTGCTTAAGAACTTCTGCCTATTCACACTAACAGGAAAAATAAAAACCACAGCAGTTTCATTTGTGCTGTATGAAATTTTGCTGCCAAATGAGTTACAAAATGTTTTTGAATGTCTGAGACATTTGGGTTGCAGAATTGTGGAAGAACTGTGTATCTGTATTTTATTATGCATCACAAATTATTTTCCTTTATTTCTCTTTTATATGGCAGCTACTATTTTGATTTTAGATTATCTTTGTAGATACATTATAGCATCTGTAAATTTCATTTCAAGATAGTTGTCTTAAAAGAACTTTTATCCAAAGGGTCTGATAGCATTGAGAACCCACAGATGTATGGCTTTTATTTGGGGTTTTGTTTTGTTTTTATGCATATTTCAGTGGATATTCTCCAAAACTCTTTGAGATACATCCTTACTTTAGAGAGAAGACAACCAAATACAAGGACAATAAAAACTTGTCCTCTTCCCATTCTTCTTCTTTTTTCTTTTTCTTGGTTGGGGATAAGGTCTTGCTCCGTCGCCCAGGCTGGAGTGCAGTGGGGTCATCATAGTTCACTGCAGCCTCGAATTCCTGGGCTCAAGAGATCCTCCCACCTCGGCCTCCCAAAGTGCTAGACTACAGGTGTCCACCACGACACCCAGCTAAATTTTTAAATTTTTGTAGAGGTGGGGTCTACTCCTGGCCTGAAACCATCATCCCACCTTGGCCTCCCAATCCATTTCTCTTCTGATGCTTTAGCCGGAGCTGGGGCAGAGGCACACCGCATTCAGCCTGTGAATCACAAGTGACTTGAGCTAAAAATTATAGGAGGGGACACATAGTGGATGATAATGAGCCACTTCCCATTGAAAGGCTCATTTTTATGCTATTATATTATTATCCAATGTAGCTTCATTTCGGCCTACCTTGCTAACTAAAAATTATTTAGTACCTGGATCTGTTTTTCCTCTCTTATTCTAAAAATGTTTTCATATAGAAGAAATTTTATCTTTTTAAAATTTCTTTTACCTAATCTTCTTTTTAAAAGTATCTATGACCTTGAGAAAGAATATAATTGATAGTAGTTGGTAGTAGAAAGGATACTACGTAGTTGGGCACTCCATAATGACATTTAGGTCAAAGATGGACCACGTAGACAATTGAGGGTCCAACAATATTATAACAGAACTGAAAATTCCTATCACCTAGTGATGTAGTAGCCATCGTAACATCATAGCACAGTGTTTTATTCACGTTTGTGGTTATGGTGCTGTAAACAAACCTACTTTACAAACTTCATCAAGTAAAAATGTTACAGTAAGCCAAGGTTAATTTATTATTGAAGACAGGAAAATAATTTTTTATAAATTTAGGTATGCTAAGTGTATAGTGTTTATAAAGTCTACAGTAGTGTACAGTAATGTCCTAGGTTTTCACATTCCCTCACCACTCACTGGCTCACCCAGATCAACTTCCAATCCTGTGAGTTTCATTCATGGTAAGTGTACCATTTCTTATCTTGTATGCCATATTTTTACTGTACATTTCCTATGCTAAGATATCTTTAGATACACAAATAATTGCCATGGTGTTCTAACTGCCTACAGCATTCAGTACAATAACACACTGTACAGGTTTGTAGCCTAAAAGCAATAAGCTGTACCATATAGTTTAGGTGTATACTAGGCTATATATTGTCTAGGTTTGTGAAAATTCACTCCATGATGTTCACACAAGGACAAAATCCCCTGAGGATACATTTCTTAGAATGTATCGCCATCATTAAATAACACATGATTGTATTAGAAAGCAGAAAAACAAATTCAGGCCCTAAGTTAGCCTACCTAGACAGCAAATCATTTTGCTTTATGAACCCCAGTTTTTCCATTTGATTTGCTGTGAGAATGAAATGAGGTACCTTACCTGATCCCACCAGCGCAACACCTGCCAAATAGTGCGCATTTAATACTAAACCACAGTTTTCCATACCTATAGAGGATTTATCCTATATCAAGAGCTTCTCTGCTTTTGAAATTCGATTATAATAGAGTAATCCCAAATTACCCCCCATGGAATCAAATCTCTTTTGATGACTCATTGTTTTTCTGAGTTCTTATGAATTTCATCACAGCCCAACTTGACCCATACATATAATGCTAATAGACTGTTAATTTCAGTGTCTTTACTAATAAATTATATTTTCAAGTTGAATCAAAACAAAAGTAGAGTAGGCACTGCTTAAGACACAAAATAAATAAGATGTTACATTAACCAGTCAGAATACTTTTTAAAAATCAAGAAGCAATCACTGAATAGCTTTCCTTGATTTAGATAGCAATTAGGTTAATAATCAAATGAGACTGATAATCAGAGCTGAGGAACCCAATTAACAGGATTGCAACATATTTTTTTTAAACCTCTTGAAAGATCACATCACTGCAGAATAGGGAGGTCTATTTATGACTAATGTCCTTTGCTCTTTATTGTTTCATTGGATGTCAGTCCTTAGAGGAAAAATTGTTTCAAACAGTCTTTTCTTCATAGAGCTATATCATTTTAGAACTGTTTACTATGTATATGCAACAGAATTTTCTCCTCTATAACAAGAAAATGAATTATGTAAGTTAAAAACAATGCATTTAACACCCTTGTGTTTCACAAAAACCCCACAGTGTTTTTTGACCTATAGTTTTGATAATGAGCACTCTTGGTTTGCTCACGTTCTTGTTCTTTGACAAAAGATGTAGTCCTATTTTTTAAAAAGACCTAGAGAAAAATAAAATACACAATTTATCCTTAAACAACAACAGGTTCACTTATAGGTGGATTTTTTTTTCTGCCTCTGCTACCCCAAGACAGCAAGACGAACTCCTCTTCCTCTTCCTCCTCCTCTTCATCCTACTCAATATGAAGACGATGAGGTTGAAGACATTTAGGATGATCCATATCCACTTAATCAGTAGTAAATATATTTTCTCTTCCTTATGATTTTCTCAATAGCATTTTCTTTTCTGTAGCTTACTTTAGCAAAAATACAGTACGGAATACCTACATAACAACATACAAAATACGTGTTAATCCACTATTTATGTTATTGGCAAGGCTTCCAGTCAACAGTAGGCTATAAGTAGTTAAGTTTTTGGGAAGTCAAAAGTTATACTGATTTTTGTGGATGGTCAGCACCCCAACCCACATATTTTTCGAGGGTCAACTGTCCATCCTAATTGTTACTTGCCTCTGAAAGAAATTAGATCTTCTCTTTTCTCAGTCCCTTTCCTCAACTGAAATCTACCACTGTGCAACCTATATAGTAGTCGCTTTCATTCCTTCATTCCTGTGCAACTTACAGACCATCCACTTTGTCACATGCTGCTGCACGTGCGACAATAAACAAAACACACTGACCCCTGCCCACGTGGAGTATTCTGTCTAGTCATGTATGGCCCCAACTCTTTTTCTATAAAGAACTTTCACATTTGTCTCTGGTTTCTTTCCTGGTGCACTACTATTTTTTCATTCTTGCAGAAAGCAAATCAATTCAATCCCATCACTGATTTTTTTTCTCCAACCCAAACAGAAGAAACCAGAATAGAGGATACCCTAGTATATAAAGGAAACAGAAATCCCTATTCAGATTTTTATGTGCTCACTTCATTAAAAAAATAAATAAATATAGTATAGGCGGGGTTTCCTAGCACTCTGGGAGGCCAAGGTGGGAGGATCACTTGAGGTCAGGAGTTCATTGGAATTCTGGGAGTTCAGGAGTTCAAGATCAACTGAGCAAGAGCAAGACCCCATCTCTACAAAAAATAGAAAAAAAAAATTATCCAGGCATGGTGGCACATGCCTGTAAGTCCCAGCTGCTCAGGAGGCTAAGGCAGGAGGATCCCTTGAGCCCAGGAGTTTGAGGTTGCACTGAGGTATGATGACGCCATTGCAATCTATCCCTGGTGACAGAGCAAGACACTTTCTCAAAAAATAAACCACGATAAAAACAAACAAACAAAGAAGTTTAATATGATTTCTTTTAGCAATGACTAGCAGAAAGAAAGTGTTTCTACTTTAATCTCTTCTTTTGGATTGAAGCAGTCTTCTATGTCATTTACATGACAATTGGCCCAAGTCACTCTGCTACCAGGACTTGGTATACAAATTAAGGGGATCCATTGAATTCACTAGGGCTTTTTTTGGAAAGGTTTTGTTTGTTTTGTGTTTTGTATTAACAAAATGAAACCAGCCAGGTGTGGTGGCTCAGGCCTGTAATCCTAGCACTCTGGGAGGCCAAGGCATGGATTTCCAAGGAATTGGCTGAGGCTCGCATTTTTTCCAGGTGTAAGCGCTTTGCTTTTTTTTTTTAAGATTTAAAACAAGTGGAATCACAGACAGTGTTACGTTATGCACCTGGAGCAACAGAAAATCTCTCTGTGCTTTCTTTCTTCTTTCTGTCTTTCTTGTCTTTCTTCTTCTTTCTTGTCTTTTCTTTCTCTTCTTTCTTTCTTTCTTTCTTTCTTTCCTTCCTTTCCTTCCTTCTTCCTTCCTTCTTCCTCTTTCCTTCCTTTCTCTCTCCTTCCTTCCTTCCTGGCGTCCGCGCCTCCCGTCCTCTCCTTGCTCGCCTCCTCCCTCTTCTCTCTCCCTCGC